AATCCACAGTCTGCACTTTGGGTTCCTGGGCAAGACCCTTAACCCCACACTGCTCCCTGGGCGCCGCACAGTGGCAGCCCACTGCTCCCCCAAAGGGGATGAGGTAAATACAGAGAGTAATTTTTCAGATAGTGTGACAATTTGTTTTTATTTTTTTTACATTTTACATAACAGTCTAATGGCAAAACAAGACATCCCCTTCCATCAAGTCCATAGAGTATGAACCTCAGAGGTCCAACTTTAATCAATTTTAAGTTTGTTTTCCATCTAATTGTTTTTTTAAATGTTGAACCCAGAACTCAAACCTGAAAGAACTTTATCCACTATAACTTTTATCTAGAGCAGAGGTAACCAATTAAAAATCAGCGGGTCCGGATAAAGAAAATCATCAACCAGTAAAGGTCCGGAGACATTTTTAATGATCTGTTACTTTAAACAGAATTTAACACCTCAATCGTTCTGTTTGGTATATAGACAATTTCCTGATTTACTTATTTTTTTAAACACCAGAACTGACTTTTTTTTTTTTTCCTGGCTTAATGAGAGCAGTGGGCTTTAGGCTGCTTTAAACCTGGGTTTGGATGGTGACAAAGCCATTCTCAAATACATATCAAAGTGCTCATTCGTGAGCCTGGATCCATATTTATTTATGATTCTGTTCATGGCGGAGAATCCTGCTGCACAGCAGCAGGTTGAGCCAAACATACTCTAAATGTTCAGGATTCATGGGGGCACAGAAAAGCATGAAATAAAAAACAGGGCAAGGGATTCCAATATATTAAGAGAGCTGCATGAAGTGAACTTTCTATTCAATTAGGTTTTATACAAATTCTTTTTCTAATGAGGTCAATATACATTTATAATTTAGGAATTTTACATTTTTTTGTTTTTACTTAAGTCAAAATTACCATTTTCTATAAAATCTGAATTAGAACTAAAGAAAGACTGATAAATTCAGCTGTAAAAATTTAGAGTTTATTTTAAACTTCTTTAGAAAAAAAAACATTTAGCAGATGAAAAATGGGATCCTATCTCAATACCACTGAAGCTATCACCTTATTGTTTTTCAAATAATTAGTCAAACATAATTTGTAAAGAAAAAAAATGAAATAGATCCAAAGGACCTATCAGTAACCATGTCTGTTCCAGCGCAGATCATCATTAGAATTTCTTTTAAGTATTATTTCTTCAGTACAGCGGCCATAACAGGGGCCAGGGCATGATTTACAGGGGCACTGGCCCCCGTTGGCCCCTGTCTAGAACCGCCCATGATGTGGGATTTCAGGGTAACAGGAGAAGTGGCACAAGTGACGTTTAGACACTGTTGTCAGACAACATGCGGTAATTTATAAATGTTTTAAATCAGGTTGGGTCCGGATTAGCCAGCAGGTGGATCCGGACCGCGGTCCGCTAATCCATGACCTCTGATCTAGATGGATGTTTAAATATATGCGTTTATTCAATTCAGTTTATTTATATAGTTCACAACACATGTCATCTCAAGGCACTTTACAGTTCACCAGATCATACAGTCAAATTGATTCAAAGTTTTCTAAGGAAAACCAGTTGATTGCATCGACTCACTGACTCGAATGCAATCCCTCACACTAAGCATGCCTGTAGCGACAGTGGAGAGGAAAAACTCCCTTTTAACAGAAAGAAACCTCCAGCCGAACCAGGCTCAGTGTGTTTATTTGTTAGCAAAGGCTTTAGGAAAGTATAGTTTGTCTTTATTTGGAAAATATGGTTGTTGTGGTTCATTTTCCTGTTGGATCAGCATAGATTGACCCTAAGTTTCTGGTGCCGATTCGCTTTCGGCCATCATTGGTTATTCCCTGGCCACCTTTATAAAATGTTTTTGGCTACGCCCCTGCTTGGCTGATGACATTGAGAAATCCATCAAATGCTGATTATTACAGATGGACCTGCAGTGAGCGCCACTTTCACTCACACTCTTTATTGCTTTATCTTTTAGTGGCTTATTTCATTGTAATGCAACATGCAGACAGTCTAATGCATATCTAAAAAGCTCAGATCATCGCGCTGCGGCCTGCATCGCCCTGAACAATGAGGAAGATGTAGATCAACAAAGACTCCACATACCGTGTCCCTTTCCCCCTCCTAATAATAGGAAGCTTATTCTTTGAAGTGTTTTACCTCTGAGCCGCAGTTAAAATGTCACCAGCAAAAGAAAAAAAAAACTGGAGTTAATAAACTTATTTGAGGGGGTGTTTGGTCGTTTTCCTTTGCTTAAAAGAGGCAGCCCCGGTGCAGAAACTGGGCTGCAGCATCATCTAGCGAGCGGCGGATCAACTGGTAGGGTGGCCATTTCTATAGCATCAAAAAGGAGGACATTGTGCAGCATATCAATAAATTACTAAGGTGTACATAAGAATCGGGTAAAGTCACATTTATAGTACAAGTCTTAGTAGTTAAAAGAGGATGCTTGTGTAGCTGAATAGAACAAAATATAAAAGAAATGTAAAAAAGAATTGGTTCCCAGGATTTGTATTTTTTTTAATACATTGTGGTGTTTAAAAAGTGACCACCGAGATTAATCTTTAAAGTGCAGAATACCACAAAGCATAAGATGTGTGGACTTAAACGTAAAAAAAATATTTTTAACAAGAAACATTCATGATAAAATAGCCTAATATTTTTTAAACAACAAAAGAGATTGTAGAAAACACATTCAACTGCTCTAAAAGTATAGCTTTATTTTTAAGAGCCTCAGTCTTTTGGGAACTTTTCTTAAGTGTCTGTGTGCAGCAGACCTGTCTTTATGGTCATACCTTTATCTATGGGCGAATCACTGAAATCCACTTTCACGTCACAGTCTACACTTCCATAAGACTAGTGATGTTTTATAGTATAGTCCACCTTGCAGCTTTGCACAAGTTATTTTAGCATCCAGGGGCAACAAAACTTGGGCCCCGTCCACACGAAGTCAAAACGAACACGAAACGCTATAATTTTCCAGAACGTTTGTCGTAAAGACGGAGACGTAAAATAAATGTGATTGTCCACACGAATGCATGAAAACGCTGCAAAATGTATGCCAGGCCTGTAAGTGGCGCTGTCGTGCCAAAGCAAAAATAGGCGACGAAATGTTGGGCATGCGCACTAATATTTATACATGTTTGCCCTGCGGGTCCATTTTCGTGGTTCAGTCAAATTCAGGTGCTGAACTATGAAAATGGCCCTGCGGGTCCATTTTCATGGTTCAGTCAAATTCAGGTGCTGAACTATGTCGTCGATATTGCTCTGTTCTTCCTGGAGATATTCCAGAAGAAGAAGATTCTGTTGTAAGCCCGACAGCAGGGTGAGTAGCATGAGCAGCAACCATTCAACACAGTACGGCTCCATTGTTGTTGTGATACTGTGTCGCGCATGCATGTTTAGAGGCGACGCTATGACGCATGCGTGTAAAAAAAAAGAATGCGGTTAGAGCTTAAAGATGGAAACGCGAAAACGGCGTTTCAAAATCTTCACACTCTGAAGGCTGAATAAAAAAAGATCGTTTACAGACCCCCGAAACGCCGGCTTCGTGTGGATGAGAGGCTGGTTTGGTGAAAAATTTGTGCATTGAGGCCAGGGTTCGGCTTCGTGTGGACGGGGCCTTAATGTAAAAGCCAACATTGAAGAGTTCGCTGCTGCACGTTTATTACTTTTATGTTAATCCGTACTTGCACACCGTTCAATTGCAGCTTTTCCTCGACTACTTACGGCCAAATCGCTTAGACAAAGTGTCAGAAACCATGGAATGAATCTCCACTACCTCATAAATTCACGCTCTTTTGTCCATTCTGGGTTAAACGACTTCCTGGTTTTTACAGGACGCTGACCTTAATACTTAGCATCAGTAATTCTGATCCTTGTTTACTTTTGCAACAAATGACAAGCAGATCTTTATCTGACACGCCGCCACTCTTAGCCAATCATCTGTTAGATCAGATAGTGATGCCTTTTTGATGATTGGATAATGTGCTGCAGCCCAGCAAAAAATAAATAAATAAATAAAAATCTGCTCTACAAGCCTAATGCCTCATAAAGGAGGACAAATACAAGTCCGGCCTAAAGCCGGACATCTGGCCACCCTAAGATTGACCCTAAGTTTCTGGTGCCGATCCGCTTTCGGCCACCATTGGTTATTCCCTGGCCACCCTTATAAAATGTTTCTGGCTACGCCCCTGCTTGGCTGATGATTCGTGTCTTTTAACCTGGGGAGCAGGCAGTAGGCTGTTATTGCCAGCTGGCAGAGGCAGTCTAATACTTTGGTTAATGGTTGTGTAATATGGATCTGGAGCTACAAACCAGAACACAACAGTCCTGCTAAGCAGACGTTCAGAAATCCATCAAATGCTGATTATTATAGATGGACCTGCAGTGAGCGCCACTTTCACTCCACACTCTTTATCGCTTTATCTTTTAGTGGTTTATTTAATTATAACGCGGGTCAAACATGCAGACAAAATCATGTATATCTAAAAAGCTCAGATCATCGCGCTGCGGCCTGCATCGCCCTGAACAATGAGGAGGATGTAGATCAACAAAGACTCCACATACCGTGTCCATTTCCCCCTCCTAATACATGGGAAGCTTATTGTTTGAAGGGTTTTTCCTCTGAGCTGCAGTTAAAATGTCACCAGCAAAAGAAAAGAAAACCTGGAGTTAATAAACATATTTCAGCGGGTGTTTGGTCGTTTTCCTTTGCTTAAAAGAGGCGGCCCCGGTGCAGAAACTGGGCTGCAGCATCATCTAGCGAGCGGCGGATCAACTGGACAGACTGCTGCGGGTTTAAAGGCAACATCCAGGAAAACTAACAGTGCAGAAATTAGTTAGAAAAACCGGCCAAATTCAGTTATTTTCTGTAGGTTTCGTTTAATGTGGAAATGGGAGGACATTTGACCTTTGTTACGATCATCTGTTAGTTTCGTTTCTGCTGAAATCTGATTTAAATCTCAGATAGAAGGAAACCAGGCAGGAAACGCCAGGTGAATGTGGAAGGGTAAAGATCAGCAGCCTGAACTTTTTCAACATCACTTGCTTAAACTATCTGATTAAATCATGCACGGGCTGATTTAAGGTAAAGTATTTGTTTTAAAATTATTACTTTTAACCTTTACATGTTGCACATTATAGACAGATCATGTGCAAAAATGCCACATTAACATTATCTGATTACCCGTCTAGTAATTATGAATTGATTGTGTAATCTTTATCTAAATGGAGAACACATTTACTGTTATAAGGTTCTTTACCGTTCATATGGCAATCAGTGAAATACTTAAAAAAAAATCAACATTTCAAGCCAATTATTGGAATCCAGGATAAGACATTATTACCTTTGTAACATAAAAAATATGGATATTTTGATGGCAAAAATAATGTCAAAGTCATAACAAGAAACGTCAACTTGCCTGAATATATGAAGAAAAATAACAAAGGCGCTTCTATAAGAAATTCATGAAAAACACTCTGAGAGTGAAAGAAACACATTTTTTGGTACAACATAACATTAGAGGTGTTAATGCTGATACTGTCACTTACTTTTTTTAGTTTAAAAACCTAAATATAATTGTTAACTATGCTTATTAACTTTTTAATAACTTTTGATTTAGCTATATATTACAGTAGGTAATATCATTTAAGGGTTCATCTAAATGGTCAGATGCCAAAATAAGATGTACAGCCATGTAGCAGTATCTTTGCTGAATGGCTGGATATAGATCTCGGACTCCATTTTAAGGGGTATGCCAAGGATCAAAAACGGTAACTTGCCCTATAAAAAGTTAACTGGTGAACTTTTTATTATTAAAATTATCTTTTTATGCTCATTTTCATTATTAAACTTGTCTCTTTTACTGCAGGCCTAACCAACCTTAGCAGGATGAGTCAGAAGACCAGGAATAAATCCCGGTAAGATTGTCATTTTTTTTTTTTTTTCATGTGCTGTGCTTTTAACAGAACAAATATTTCCATTTGAAGCACTGTCAGAGTGCGCAGCTGTATTTGAATGTTATGCTCCTCCTCTGGCCAGTTGAGTTGGTCTATCCAGTACTTGTACAGTACTAGTTGAGGGGAGATGGCACACCCCCTTCTTGAAAAAAAATCATCCCCTTTCTTAAATGACCATCCCCCCATACCATCTCCTGTGACATTTTATTACTAAATGTGTAAAATCTCAACTATATATTAACAATAATGGCAATACTATTGCCGTTTTGACATTTGGAGGGCTGTGGGCTTAAAATAAATAAAATCAAAGAAGTGGCCTACCATGACTATGAAGCTGATCTCAGTGGGAAATTTATCCTCTGCATTTGTCCCTAACTATGTAGGGGAAGTGATAGCCATGCCAGTCTAGGGACTGACTGCAGTTCTACTGTATGGTGCCTTGGTCAAGGTCAATGACTGGTGAACCCGATATGTAACAATCATACCATGCATTTTGCTTTAGGTTAATAGACTATATTGATTAGGCTATGTATGCCACCATCCCCCTTCTTCTTTTTTTTAACAACTAGACTACTGAGTCTCTCAGTCTTTAATAAAATGCCAACTGAGGCTCCAACAATGCAGGATTTGTTTAGTTTTTTTCTTACATGAAAATAGTTCTTAGTAGTTGGGCCAATATGGAAATATATATGTAAATTCCTTATAAATAGCTCTCTCCAGCTGCTCTAAAGCACATGAACTGGGAATTTTAACCGATCTTTTGATTTCTTGGAAATAATTGTTTTCTGATCACATTTAAACCCAATGCATAGTTTAATTTTACTTTCCCATCATATTAATTTGCTAAATTATTGAGACTTGTTTTTTTTTTCTCATATCACTTTTAAGGTGT